GAGGACAGGGGGGAGTGGGTAAGGGCAGAGGGTGGGGTGGGAACCGGGTGGAGGGGAGCTATGGGGGGAAAAAAGAGGAACAACTGTAATAATCTGAACAATAAAAATTAAAAATAAAAATCTGACTTCGTCCCAACTTCCTCTAAATTACCATACCATCCAGCTATATTTTGGCTAATCCTTGCCCCAGATGCCCTACCACATGTTATGCAGCACCAAGTGCAACCTCATCTGTCCCAGACTCTTCTACCTTTCTCAGCTGCCAAAATGTCTTGCTCTTGTCCACCTCATCCCCAAAGAGCCTATAAGTTCAGATGATCCAGCCTTTTCATGGATTCACTCTGTTGCTCAGTAATACTACTTCCATCGTTTAAATAAATCATCGAAGACTTTTGCCTTCTAACAAAGTAGGTGCTTGTGGAAATTTTGGAATAATGAAATGCATACTATAAAATAGCATTTAGGCCAGAACCGGTTTGGCTCAGTGGATAGAGCGTTGGCCTGTGGACTCAAGGGTCCCGGGTTCGATTCCGGTCAAGGGCATGTACCTTGGTTGCGGGCACATCCCCAGTGGGGGGCATGCAGGAGGCAGCTGATGGATGTTTCTCTCTCATTGATGTTTCTGGCTTTCTATCACTCTCCTTTCCTCTCTGTCAAAAATCAATAAAATATATTTAAAAAAAATAAAATAAAATAGCATTTAGAACAAACACCCCATTTTATAGCTCATAGGACAGTACCAAACATTAGTAAGTTTAAATGTAACAAATATGATTTTTGGTATATAAATTTGCAAAAACAGTCTCTTTTCTTCTACCCCTCAATTTAACTCTTAGAAGCAAATGTACGAGCCCTGGTTAACTAGATGTACGCATCATGACACCGAATGAAATGGATTGTACATCTTTCTTAATCAGTCTGCACAAATTTCTAACTGGCTTCTAAATCTTGTAACGAAGAATCAAAATGTAGGCTAAAGGAAACACATCAACTGGGTAGCAAGTGCCTTCCTTTGTAACGTGGAGGTTGTTTTCTACTGTCTGAATTTTGCTGCTTCTCTAAAATAAAATGTGCCCTGGCCAGTTTGGCTCAGTGGATAGAGCATCGGCCTGCTGACTGAAGGATCCTGAGTTTGATTCTGGCCAAGGGCACATGCCTGGGTTGCGGGTTCAATCCCCAGTAAGGGGCATGCAGGAGGCAGCCGATCAATGATGCTCTCTCATCATTGATGTTTCTATCTCTCTCTATTCCTTCCTCCCTGAAATCAATTAAAAAATACTTAAAAAAATAAAATGTAAGAGGTAAATGGTACCCTTGTGCTTCAAGTAAAGTTATGGAACTCTAAGGCAGATATTTCCTTTGCATTCACATATCTTCCTGGAAAGAAAATACAATTTTTCCCTTCCCCTTTCCCTTCACATTTACTCTTTCCAACCTAACATAGGACAGACAGAAAAAGCAACCACAACCAGTGTTGCATCTTTGTGCTACTAGAAGAGTGACGTCACAGGCACAGTCTGAGCAAGGTCAGAAAGGACCCTGTCAGGTCAACGTGGAACATGGCCTTGCTACTTGGATTAGCTCCTTCCAACCTGGAAATACCTTTTCTGGTCATGGAAGAACTGGATGTATCCTTTAGCTTATGAAATAGGATTTGAACTTGAAATCTTAATTTTTAAGTCCTGATTTTGCAGGGTAGCTAGATGATGAATGTATATATTAAGACTTTGTAGCTGGATTGCACATGAGATCAGATTGCCAACTTCTTGACTTTCAAATTTAGACTTCATTTTATCCTTAAGTGCTGAGCAATATATATAGCATGCTGTGAAATGTCTATTATAGTTCTTTAATTCATCAGTATTAATACAGAATTATCTTTTGTGTTCCTTGGTCCTTTTTATTCAATGTAATCAGAAGCTGTGATGTTTTGCCTTTGTAGTCCTTTGCTTTGTTACTGTAATGTGTGGTGTGTTTTTTTACGAAGCATGTGACTTTGCACTAATGTGAGGCGGATGATCTTAAGACTGCTATAAATATATATATCACTCTCTTACTATATAGGGTTTTCCATTAGAATAAGCTTTTATCAAATAGATCATTGATGAAATTTAGGATTTACACAATTTGCATTGTCAAATGACACTTATATTTATAGTTTCAATTCCAAAAATAGCAAACTTGATAAACAGCCACTTTAAACTTGTTCTGGCGAACCAGACCCTGCTGTAGCTGTAGTCTGAGGTAGTTACCTATATGAGCCTTCTCCACTGTTATGGCCTCCACATGAGCCAGTAGTTAAGGAGATTATAGAACCCATGAAAGCTTTTTGTATGTATAACTAGGTTTTATTTTTCTGATGCTGCTGATTTTACAACTCTGGGTCAGTGTATGTGTAATATTCTAGTGCTTTAATGCCTTTTTTTATGGAGGAGTGGGTAATGTTATTTGAACAGATGCAGAAGGAACTGTTAGTGGTCAAGACAAACACATTTGAAATAAAGGAAGTGTGTACATGTTAACAATTCATAGCTGCACTTTTTATGACATTTTGAAAATTTATAGGTACAGAACAATAGGTTTTGTTCAACATTTTACTTGCAAAAATTTATTTCATTGTTATTAGTAGGAATTTTATTGGTTTAATAAAATTGGCAAAACTGTAAAAATAAAAGAAATGCAGGTCTTTACAAAGCATATGCCTGAACCTTGATGGGGTCACTGGCTGCTGTCTGAGCTTTCAGCCCTGCAGGGCATCAGGTATCTGAGGGTCACAAGGCTCTGGAAAGTTCAATCACATCTTCAAGACTCTCTCAAAATTAAATGTATTCCTGTAACAGACCAGCTAAGGTGAGTTACTGGTGCCCCATGAGCAGCAGTGGTAGGGCTTGCTGTGGTGTTTAAAGACACTGTGTTAGGAAAATGGCCGCCCCGTAAGCGAATGCCCATCGATTGCCGTTATTATGAATGACAGAGAGTTGTTTATATCCCTGGGGAAAGCCATGGAGTGGACTTGTCTGTGGTAGACCACCGGCTAGCACTCCCCCAAATGCCCTATAAAGAGAGAAATTCCAGGCATCATTGCCTGGGGTAGAGGAGTCTTTAACAAAATTAAGGCATGGAGCTTGCGCAGTGGACTAAGGGGGCCCGACCGGCAGGGTGACAGATGATGCCCTCGTATGGGTCTGAGTTGTTTTTGGGTGATGACACCTTTAATCTTAGTACAGGCAGTGAGGTTGCCCACAGTCTGAGTCCCTCTGACCTGTGGCCATCTTACCACTGAGGCTGGGGCTCTCTTCTTTATCTCAGGTATAGCCTTTGCAAGGTTTATTTGCTGTTTCAGAAGACAAAGCAAAAGCAATCCTAAACTGAAGCCATTATCATAGCCTCTTCTCACACCAGAACCAGAATCCGTTCTGGCCTAGCTTGGTGCCATGCTGGGACTGGAGGAAACATCAGAACAGCTGCTATGCTGACTCACTGAAGAGCAAGGTGGGGCTGCTCTGCTGAGTGGCTGAGATGCAGAGCCCTCATCCAGGCCAGACACTGTGGGGTAGTCTGCAAGCAGAAGCCGGTCCCTTATGGCCTGATGAAAACTGTCTTGAAAAAAGCTCCTTCACCCTGGGCACTCAGCTCGGGACCCAGGCAGACAACTGAGGCGGCAGCCCACTGGTAGGGTGAACCTGGAGTCAACCTCTGTGTCCCTAAGAACGACTAAGATGGCTCTAAATCCTCCCATACTTGTTACATTTCAATTGAGTCCTTCCCACCCCCAACCCAAAACCACATTGAAGCACTAACCCTCAATATCTCAGAATGTGAACTCTTGGAGATGGGTTCTTTATAAAGGTAAGCAAGTTAAAATGAGCTCATTAGGGTGAGCCCTAACCTAAAAGGACTGGCATGCTTATAAAAAGGAGAAATTTGAACACACATCGATACAGAGGCATGATGATGTGAAGATTTAGGGATAACACGGTCACCTATGAGCCACGGAGAGTGACCTGGGACAGACCCTTTATTCATGGCCCTCAGAAAGAACCCACCCCACTGACACCTTGATTATGGACTTCTAGCCTCCAGAACTGTGACACAATAATTTTCTGTTGTTTAAGGCACCCGGTTCATGTATTTTGTTATGGCAGTTCTAGCAACAAATAGATGATTAATTTTTAATTTTCTAGTAAGCCAGAACAGTATCCTCAAATTCAGTTTATTAATTTGTGATATAAACTGAAGCCTGAGCCTAATCTGCCTGGTCTCCACCTTCCTGGGAATAGGGTCACTCAGTAGAACAAATAATAGATAAAATATCCTGGTTAATGTGAAGGAATTTATAAAACTAGGTTGCTTTATTTATTAGTTTTAGACTTAGCCAGGAGGGTCTCACCTTCTTTTCAGCCACAGTGACCATGAAAATATTTCTTAGTGCCCAGTCGGTGTGGCTCAGTGGTTGAGTGTCTACCTCTGAAACAGGAGGTTTCAGTTTGATTCCTGGTCAGAGTACATGCCCAGGTTGTGGGCTTGATCCCCATTAGTGGGCTTGCAGGAGGCAGCCGAACAATGATTCTCTCATCATTGATGTTTCTATCTCTCCATTCCTCTCTGAAATCAATAAAAATATATTTTAAAAAATATTCCTTAGAATAAGAAAGCTTGGCCTCTAGTCCTGGCTTTGCAGTGAACTTGGTAGATCATGTAACTTTTCTTTAATTATCATTATAAAGAAAGAATATACCCTTATAGCATTAACATTACAGAAAGGTTCATAGAGAGTTAGAGGTATTACGGGATGTCTCTCCATTCTAAATAACTTTACAGTATATTCTGCATAAGCCCTGGGAATGACTGGATTAAATTCAAAACCCAACCCTCAAAACTTTTGTCTGAAAGATTTTTCCAGAAACTGTGAATATGATCGTATTTGGAAATAGGTTTTTTGCAGCTGTAATCAAGTTAAGATGAGGTCATACTGGATTAGGGTGGGCTATATGCCAAAGACTGGTGTCCTTAAGAGATAAATTTGGACAAAGACAGAGACACACAGGGAAAATGCCATCTGATGATGGTGGCAGACACTGGAGTGATGTGTTGACAAACTAAGGATTGCCAAGGATTGGTGGTAACCATCAGATGCTGCAAAGAGGCAAGGACTGGTCCTCCCCTAAAGTTTTCACAGGAAGAATGGCTCTGCTCATGGCTTGATTTCTAGCCTCGAGAACTGTGAGAGAAAACATTTGTGGTTTTTTTTTTTATTGTCTAAAGTTTTACATATGCCTCCTTTTCCCCCAATTGGCCCCTCCCCCCTACATTTCTGGATTTAAAAAATATTTTTTTTATTGATTTCAGAGAGGAAGGGAGGGGAGAATCATTGATTGGCTGCCTTCTGCATGCCCCACACTGGGAATCGAGCCTGAAACCCCAGCATGTGCCCTGACTGGGAACTGACCTGTGACCTCCTGGTTCATAGGTTGATGATCAACTACTGAGCCACGCTGGTATGGCCATTCCTATTGTCTCGAGCCACCCATTTTGTGGTATTTTGTTATTTAGGAAACTAATGCACATCTCTTTCTCCCACATCAGGATGGGAGATACACTGGACGCTCTCTACATTCTGATCAAACAGAAACTCAGAAAGTATCCCTTTCAAAGGATATTTTAAAAGTACAGAAAATATCTTATTTTGACTATTATATTATACAGTACATATTAAGAAACTTAAACTTTAGTTGTGTAATTGTTTATCCTTTTTTTCCCTCATATCCCACTGCTAGTCTCAGGAAATTTATGGGTCCCAATTTCAAACTACAATTAAAATCTGAACATTTCTCTTCATTTCACTGCTAACATCCTGGTCCAAGCCACTATCATCTCTCACAGCCTCCTATTTTCCCTTTTCCCAATCTTGCTCACCTAGTTTACTGGTAAAAGAACCTATTTGATAAAATCTAGCATTCATTTATGATAAAACTCTCAGCAAAGTGGGAATACAGGGAATATACCTTAACATAATAAAGGCCATATATGACAAACTCACAGTTAACATCATATAAAATGGGGAAGAGCTAAAAGCATTTTCCTTAAGATCAGGAAAAAGACAAGGATGTCTACTTTGACCCCTTATATCCAACATAGTACTGGAAGTCCTAGCCATAGCAATCAGACAAGAAAAGAAATAATAATCCAAATTTGAGAGGAAGAAACAAAATTGTAATTATTTGCAGATGACATAGTAATATACATGTATGGAGAGAGAATCCTAAAGATTCCACCAAAAGCTATTAGAACTAATAAATGAATTGAGAAAGGTAGCAGGATGCAAAATTAATACTCAAGAATCAAATGCATTTTTATATACTGATAGTAAACTATAAGAAAGGAAAACTAAGAAAACAATTCCATTTACAATTGTATCAAATAAAATATCTAGGAATTAATTTAACCAAGGAAATAAAAGACCTGTACTATGAAAATTATAAGACACTGAAGAAAGAAATGTAAGAAGATACAAAAAATGGAAGGATATACTGTACTCATGGGTAGGAAGAATTAATACAGTTAAAGTTTCCATACTACCCAAAGCAATCTACAAATTCAATGAAATTCCTATCAAAATACCAATGGCGAAAATGGTGGCATAAGTAAATGCAATACTCACATCCTTCCACAATAACATCAAAATTACAACAAAACTATAGAACAACCAACATTCAGAACCACCTGAATTCTGGCTGAACAGAAGTCCTACAACTAAGGATATAAAGAAGCCACATCAAGACTGGAGGAGAGGCAAAGATGTGGAACAGGATGGTCCCACACCCACATGTGGCAGATAAAAACCGGGAGGGATAGCTTGGCTGTGGAGGTCCCCCCGAGGGATCTCAGCCTCACACCAGCACCCCCAGCACAGGGTTCCAATGCCAGGAGGAGAAGTCCCCATAATTTCTGGCTGTAAAAACCAGCTGGGATTATGGATGAGTGAGATGGAAGGCTGCTGGAGTTCCAGGTGTTCCTCTTAAAGGGCCCATGCACAGACTTACTCAAACTCACTCCTCTGAGCTCCAGTACTGGTGTAGCAGCTTAAAAGGAAAGAGGGTCATTCAGGGAGAAACTGAATTGTCTTCCATCAGAACAAGAATTAGGAGTGCACCTTTTTGCCAGACATAGTGCTGGTAGAGGCCATTTTTCCTTTTCTGAGACATACCCTCTGACCCCCACCACAAACAAGTCCCTGCTTAGAGGGCACAGCCCTCTTAGCATAATTAAGCTTGACCTTAGGATGGTTCCTAGAACTTATCTGGGTAGCTAATGGGCTGTGGGAGATGCAGCAAGTGCTGCCAAAACAAGTGAAACTCACAAGAACATTGTAACTATGTTGACCACAACCTTGTTTGTCTCTGACTATAAAATAAAGCTTCAGCTTACAGGTCGGGTCTTTCTGTGTCCTCATCCAGGCATGGAAGATCTGCTGAGCCCCAGCTATATTCCCTTTGTCTATCTTTTTTAAATCCTTCACCGCCCTCCCTCAGGTTTACCCTTGGCCGTGCTGGTGTGGCACAGTCACTGTGTCCTCATCCAGGTGCAGTGATCACCTGGTCCCAACTGTATTCTCTTGTCTGTTTTCTTTAATCCTTCACCGCCCCTCCTCTGGTTCACCATTGGCTGTGCTGGATGCGGTTCAATCAGGGACATAGGGAGAGGAACTGAAGTGTTTGGCATCAGGGCGAGAGCTGGAGGGGCAGCTTCCTTCCAGACAGAAGTGCTGGCAGAGGCCATTGTTCCTTTTCTGAGCCCTCCTCCCACAGACCTGTCAGGTGAGCTCCATCAACCGGGCTAACATGATTAGTCCTGCCCTGGTAATTCCCTGAAACTTCAGAAAAAGAGCTAAACAAAATGGAGACAACCAATTCACAAAATGCAGAGTTTAAGACACTGGTTATAAGGATGTTCAATGAACTTAGGGGAAGAATAGGTAAACTTGGTGAGAACTTCAACTGCATAAAAATGGCATGGAAACCATAAAGGAGAACCAGTCAGGAATGAAGAATAGAAGAAATCTGCGTGAAGATGGAGGCACAGATTAGAATGATGCACCCGGAAGTCAAGAATTCAAAGGATTTCTGGCTACCGCCAGAAGCCAGGAAGAAACAGGAGGGATTTTTTCCATAGAGCCTTCAGAAGGAGCATGGCCGGGCTGACACCTTGATTTTTAACTTCCAGCTCCAGAAATGTGAAAGAATAAGTTCTCTTGTGTTTCAATCAACCAGTTTATAGTACCTTGTTACAAAAGGCCTAGGGAATGAATACAGTCTGCTTCCAGACCCATTTTCAAATCACTCAACCAAAGTCTAAATCCTATAATATGTATTTTCTAACAACCTCTACTGTGATATCCCACAGCTCCCTATGTCATGTTGTTTTCCCTCACTACACTAAATAATAAACCCAAATTGTTTAACTTTAAAAAAAGAAATGAAGAATACATGAGCTAAAATGAAGAATACATTGCAGGGAATCAACAGTAAAGTAGATGAAGCAAAGGATCAAGTAAGAGACTGGGAAGATAAGGAAGCAGAAAACAACCAATCAGAACAGCAAAAAAGAATCCAAAAAAATAAGGATAGAATAAAGAGCCTCTGGGATAACTTCAAGCCTACCAACATTTGCATTATTGGGGTACCAGAAGAATTGGAGAGTGAGGAATTGAAAATCCATGTGGAAATAATGACAGAAAACTTCCCTAACCTGGTGAAGGAAACAGACATACAAGTCCAGAAAGCAGATTTTGTAGAAGACAGAAGAAACCCAAGCGAAACTTATAGAAATGGAGTTACACAGCTTTATTACGCCAACGTTCTCAGTGGAGTCACCTCCAAAATCTGAGCAAACCAATATGGGGGAAGCCCCTCTTTTATCCCCTTTTGGTGTCTTTGTCCCCAGATACAGAATGGGACTTCTGGACCTTTCGTGGGCTTTGCAAAAACCCCATGTGCTGGAATGGGGGCAGTGAGACCACACCTGGGCCTGACCTGGCGTCAGCACTGATAACCCCCTCCAGGGGTTGTGTATTGTTCAGTTTATGGCCTCAGCTCTTGCAAGACCAGATTTTGGGAAAGGGGCAGTGACTTAATTATAAGCTATCAAGAATGTACATTAGGTTACTGGCACAAATTCAGATTACTAGCCCCCTCCACCCCCGCAAATGTCTTATTTTCCCCATCACAGAGAGTCTCAAACAAGATAAATCCAAAGAGGTCTACACCAAGACACATTATAATAAAATGCAAAAGGTTAAAGACAAAAAGAGAATCTTAAAAGCAGCAAAAGAAAAACAGTTAGTTACTTACAAGGGAGCTCCCATAAGACTGTCAACTGATTTCTCAACAGACGCTTTGAAGGCCAGAAGGGACTGGCAAAAAAATATTCAAAGTGATGAAAACCAAGGACCTACAATCAAGATTATTCTACCCAGGAAAGGTATAATTTAGAATTGAAGCACATATAAAGAACTTCTCAGTCCAAAAAAAAAAAAAAAAGCTAAAGGAGTTTACTACCACCAAACCAATATTACATGAAATGTTAGAGAGTCTTCTTTAAGAAGGAAAATAAGCAAAAATATGAATAATAAAATGGCAATAAGTATGTACCTATCAACAGTTGAACCTAAAAAACAAAATAAATGAACAAGCATAACAGAAACGGATTCATAGATACAGAGAACCTTTTGGTGGCTTCCAGATGGGAGGGGATTGAGGGGGATGAGTGAAAAAGGTTAATGTAATTGAAAAGTAAAAAAATTATACCACCACAAAAACCCTCAAAGAGCCAAAGCAATCTTGTCAAAGAAAAGCAAAGTTGGAGATATCACACTACCTGATATCAAACTATACTACAAGGCCATAGTAATAAAAAAAAGCATGGTACTGGCATAAAAGCACACATAAATTAATGGAACAGTATAAAGAGCCCATGCTTATATGGTCAATTAATCTATGACAAGGAAAGCAAGACTACACAGTGGGGTAAAGACAATTTATTCAATAAATGGTGTTGGGGACAGATACATGCAAAAAAATGAAACTAGACCATCTTCTTATACCATATACAAAAATAAAATACAAATGAATTAAAGACTTAAATAAGAGACTGAAACCATAAACCGCCTAGAAGAAAACATGAGTAGACTCTCTGACATCGCTCTTACTCATATAAAAAAATCAAATCTCCTTGGACAAGAGAAATAGAAGAAAAAAATAAATGTGCCATGTCAACTAAAAGTTTTTTGCACAGCAAAAGAAACCATCAACAAAACAAAAAGACAACCTACAAACCAGAAGATGATATTAGTCAATGATAATCCACTAAGGGGTTAATATGCAAAATTTAAAAAGAACTCTTTCAATTTAACACCAAAAAAGCAAACAATTCAATTAAAAAATAGGTAGAGAACCTGAATAGACACTTGTCCAAAGAGGAGGTATAGATGGCCAATAGACATATGAAAAGATGGTTAACGTCACTAATCATCAGGGAAATGTAAATTAAAATTACAATGAGATACCACTGCACACCTGTCAAAATGGTTAGCATCAATAAATCAACAAAGTGCTGGCAAGGATGTGGAGAAAGTGAACCCTCATGCACTGTTGGTGGGAATGCAAACTGCTGCAGTCACTATGAAAAACAGTAGGGAGATTCCTCAAAAAAATTAAAAATAAAACTACCTATGACCCAGCAATTTCACTTCTGGGTATTCATCTGAAGAAATTCAAAACACTAACTTGAAAAGATGTATGCACCCCTATGTTCACTGCAGCCCTATTTACAATAGCCAGGCTATGGAAGCAGCCCAAATGCCTATCAATGAACAATTGGTTAAAGGTGTGTACATATATACAAAGAAATGTTACATGGCCATAAAAACTGAAATCTTACAATTTGCAGCAACGTGGAAGGAGAGGATATTTTGCTGAGTGAAATAAGCCAGTCAGAGAAAGACAAATGTCATATGATTTCACTTAGATGTGGAATCTAAAAAACAAAATACAGTGCAACTTTGGTTCTCAAACTTAATTTGTTCTGGAAGGCTGTTTGAGATGTGATTTGTTTGAAAAACTGAATCATCCCCCCCTTATAAATTATGTAAATTAATTCTTTCCAGACCCCCTACCCCCCCAACGATTCCGTATTGTTTATTCTATAAACAAACACTTCTTAAATCTATGGAACCACCCCCTACTATCCTTAAATGAATCACTTTCAGCACTCAGGGGTGTTTGTTTTTCAGGAATTCAGTATTTGGCATCTTCAATTGTTCACATATTGTTGCCTCCGAAATGCTGCCTGCCAACTGCATTTGGTTTATCCCAATCAACAAGTCTTTCTACCTCTTCAATTGCCTGTGACCATTTTTTCACACCTTTAGCAACATTAGCACTCTTGATGGCCTCTTTGTTTTAACACTGTGCTAATTATCCATTTTGCCAGCAACAAAAGCAAAAAACCCACAAGAACATCCACAGCATGATTTCTTGAGATGTAGACAACTGATTTACATTATCTCCTTTGTTTATGG